AAAACGTCCAGGGATGGGGCATCAACAACCTCCCTGGGCAACCCATCCCAGCTCCTCAGCACCCTTATCCCCATCTCCATGCTGGAGGAGGGAACTCGTTGCATCTCTCTGTGCAGAGACTCCGCGGCTCCAGGCTCTGTGGCCCCGAGGCTGGTGGCCCAGGTCTCTCCCTGGGGTGGTCCTTAGGGCTAAGGAGAGCTGTCGTTGCAGGCTGGGCGCTGGTGACATGCAGGAGAGGACATCCCCACCGCTGACCATCACAGCCTGCTCCCCAGCCCCCTCATCTCCCCTCAGCACGGCCGCTGATCTCCCGGCGCCGGGACCGCGCGCCGGCCACGGCTGCAACCACCGCAGACCCAGATGGTGCCTTATCCTCATAGGAAGAAGCCTCTGCTCGTGCCGGGAGGTCCATGGGCAGCGCCGCCCGCCTCGGCCTCCTCTTTATTTTCAAAGAGCAGCACGAAGGCGGCGGCGCCGCACGGGGCCCGACCTCCAACAGTCCCCTGGGACTGCTCAGCCCTTTTCCAGCTGGTACCTGGACCCTGAGGCTGCTGGCCCCGATCTTTGCTAATAAAACCTGCCCTGGGAAGCTGTTGTCAGCGTGGTGCTTTCCCCTGGCTGGAGCCCTCCTGGAGTGCCCTGGCGTGGGGCAGGGGCTCTGCTGGGAAGGGGCTTTCCAGGGAAATGATGGGGAACGTGAGGGGACGAAAAATCAGAGTCATGGGGTGATTTGGGTTGGAAGGGACCTTGTAGAGGCCATCTAGTCCAATCTCCTGCTGTCTGCAGGGACATGTTCCACTAGATCAGGTAGCTCAGGGCTCCTTCCAACCAGAGGGCATGGCTGACTTCTCTGGGCAGCTTGTTCCAGGGTCTCACAACCCTCAAGCGACAACGTTTCCTCCTCATGTGAGCAGCATCACCAGCAGGAGCTGGTATTTGTGCTGTGTGCACAGATGGGTGTGAATCTGCCCGACACACAACCCAGACATGCAACAGCCAGCCAGACACCAACCCCACTGCTGTGCACCCAGAAGGGTGGTCCAGCTCTGTCCCTTGGTGGAGGGAACCTTGATCCCACATACAGCGCAGGCACCAGGCTCAGGGTTCTCTTCCAAGGTCTCCCCAGGGGTGTCCCACTGCTGCTGCTGCTGCTGCTGCTCTGTGCCCCACAGCTTCCCAGGCCTTTCTGCTGCCCATCAGGGTTCCTGCCATAGAGCTGCCCATGCAGGGCTGAGCCTGGGAACAAGCCCTGAGGGGCAGCAGAGCTGCAGGGCTCAGCCCCTCTCCAAGGCCCTGGGATCCCAAACCTGTGTTTAGGATTGTGTTCCATTGGAGGTGCCCACCTGCTCTCACCTGATCAGGCCATTTCTCCCAGCTTCAGCTTGGCCTCTTGGAGCACAGGCAGCAGGGAAGAGGTCTCCAGCTGGCTGAGTGGCCACTCAGGGATCTGGGGGCTCTGGAGGGGACATTTAGGGCTCTGGAGGGGACATTTGGGGCCATGTCCACCCCACATCTGATAGGATGCCAAGTGGGTCTGAACAAGAACAAAGGCAACCCTGGTGGTGTCAGGGGAGTGGGGCTCTGGAGGTCATATTTCAGGCTCTGGAGGGGACATTTAGGGCTCTGGAGGGGACATTTGGGGCCATGTCCACCCCACATCTGACAGGATGCCAAGTGGGTCTGAACAAGGACAAAGGCAACCCTGGTGGTGTCAGGGGAAGCAGAGACTGTGGGGAATCTGACAGCAGCAG